TTGATAAAACACCGTGACGTCATCTGACGCATGCCCAACTGTCCCGGGTTTTTCTTTGGGGGGAGTTGTGACGAGATTTCAACGCATCCGTGGAAGGCATATATTCAGTTCTGCACCAACTTCTCAAGATATCTTAAATGAACAAAACTAACGGTACATGTTACCAACACTTTACATGAGGAATTAATCTGAATAAAGCTGAGAAGAAACTATTGCATTAAAAAGAATAACCTGTGATGAATTTCCGATGTTTACACTTTAAAATGAAACAGATGAGGCAATTACAAAAGTAAATTTGCTTGGGTATGGGAACTAACATTTAAAAAGAAACAAATGGGAAGATGCTGCTCTACAATCTCGACTTATTCAGATTAATAACTTCACTGTCCTCCGTCGACCTGCAGGTATTGGATTTGAACGTTGAAACAAGCAATGGAATAAAAAAATGTTCACAACTTAAAGCCGGGTTACTGTTTTTAGATAATAGAAAAGGTCAAGTTACATTTTGAAACACAAGCAAATAAGAACTCATATACTACTCTGACATCTTCAAACGCATAAAGCTCGTAAGGGCGCCGTTGTGATTGCAAAATCGAGAAAACAGAAGTAACACAGTCATGCCCACGTGTTGAGCTGGCTTAGACAGCCATGCTTTTTAGGGGGCAGAATCATTGCAAAGTTGTAGCATTTAAAATTATAAAAAGAGGGTTTACGTGTGACGTCAGCCCTGCTGCCGCTAGTTTTACTGTGAAAAAGGTTTTGAGTTGTTTTGAGGCTTGAAAATGTAGGGCGCCCCCACGAGTTTTACATACACTTTGAGGTTGCATATCACACATGCTTTCCCCCAAAACAGCCATTGAATAACATAATCGATAACTTGAGTTACACAATACATTTACTGGGGTAAAACATATGCGAAATCCCTGATTGTTTTCAAGATGACGACGGACGTGTACATCATTATGGTGGACCTGGAACGAATGTCGTTAACATTGACGGAAATTCAGGAATTATAAGTGTATAATTTTTCAAATGTACGCCCTTTTAAAATGTGCTACTTTCTTCAAGCACTCTGCTGATTAAAATAAAAAGAACACAGCTGGCACTTACGAACTTATATATTCTCCACTTTCCCTTCACTTATTGTTGGGATTGTGAAGACCATTCCTTTTCTCTCTTAGCTCTGTGTTCACACAAGAATAATTCAATGCTAGACCATCATGTTTCCGCAGCCTATATGGATCACCTTCAAAATCATTTCCTAATTCTTAAGACACTGCATCAAGTTTTGTAATGAATAAAGTTTCAGTTATTTTGATATAATCTTTGATTTGTGAACTGTTGAAATATTGGGACCCAGTGAATCAGTGGCGTAAACCTGTGCCGGCGGGTGGGGGGGGGGGGGGGGGGGAGGGATGGGGGATGACCAAAATCCAAAAATTGTCCGCCTTGGAAATTCTAAAAGCGGGGGGGGGGGGGGGGGCACCACATTACACTAGGGGGCGCTTTTCAGGATACAGATGTATATCAGTATGCATACTCACGCTTATATCCAAACGGTGCATTTTAAAAGCTTTCGTACTTTGTTTCTCCACTTTTCAGTGCTATTGAATACATTTTGGTTGTTGGGATGTTGCAAATCCGCAATTTTTGGCTCAACACGAAAAACTCATTCAGTAGCCCCCCCCCCCCCCGGACGTCGCGAGGGGGGTGGGGGCAAGGGGGCTTTTCAATATGTTGAAAAAAGTTCAGAAATTTTTGGGGGAAATGTGCTTCCCCCCCCCCCCCTTGGAAAAAAATCATCGCGACGCCCATGATCCCCCGGACAAAAAGGTGGTGGGAATATATACCCCACCCCCGGGATTTACGCTTCTGCAGTGAATGTATGATAAGACCTGTTAGTGTTGATTCTGTTGTAGCTGTCTTATTATTTGAATAATACTTTGCTTTTTATTTTGGTGTCTTCAAGTTGCAGTTGTTAGCTATAGTAGTTCTTGCCTAAATCGTTATTTCAGAGATGTACAGTTGCAGTTCAATAGATATAGGCTTTTACTTATTTTAAGCTTGTTGTGTGAAATTTCAAATGATTTAATTTATAATCTTGTACATTGTGGTGAATTTTCTTAAAATCAACATGAGGTTGATTTCATAAATCACCGGATGTTTTTATAGAGTGTGGTAGGATTGTCACTCATTAATTACTTCAACGATATCTTACATCTACGTACAACAAAACAACATGGATATCTCTCAACCTTATCCACTCCAATTCAGGTCATGGCAAGCTAATACCTCCCCTAATATTGGATTTACTGTCGGTATTTATTCGTTTTTCATGGATATATCCTTTTGAAAAATCCTATTTTCATCCAAAATGAAAGAAAAACAAATTCATCATCCACGGTAAAATTCATTTTGACTATAAGCTACACAATTATATAGCTTTTTCATACTGCTGGACTTAATACAATAATCGATATATGCATCACAGGACTTCACAATATAATGCAAATAGAATGCTTCAATATGTACTATCACTTTTTTGACCCCTTAAAACACCCAAGACCCACCGATAGGGGCGCGCTCGATATAACATCAAATAGTTTTCATCCAACACACTCTGTATTATTGTTAGCATTAAAAACTACACATGGCACTACTTTGGACGATTAAAATATAATTACTACACACTGTGAACGTTTAACACGAAGCGGACAATTACTATAATCACCAAGCCATTCAGTACTGCCTTACATTATTAAATGGGCTCGGAGCGTTCGCTGATTTATATGATGCATTTTTGACACATTTTACGGACTTATTTTTTACTTAAAAATACAAAGCTTTCTTTATGCTATACTGTACGTCTTTAGCGCGTGTGAGATTACGGGTACATACTATTGCCATTGGCCTTGAACATAATCTAAAATAAATGGGTGGTTACAAACACAATTATTTTACAGAGTTCTGTAAGTTGATAACCTTTCAAGAATTATCTGGGTTATCAGGGGGCGACCATGTTATTAACGACAAATAGTCTGGTGCCTCCAATCAAGCGACTGCATGAACCAATAAATGATCTTTACTATATGCCGTCTGGGAACACGACAAAGATGGTCGCCACTGATTTTTAACAACGGACATATAATGCTATAGAAATATGCATTGCATGCAATTGCGTTGTCAATATTGCTAATTGGTTTTACTGAATACTTCATCTGGAAAGTGGAATCAATTGCTATTTTTCAGTTCATCGAAAATAATTAAAGGATTCGATAACATGCTCAGATCACCTTTAATAGCGACTGGGTAATGGCTCATCTGGGATCAATTTCCATGGAAACGCATAATCATTCGGTTCTATAAGCAGAGTTGGTTATTACAATGGATGCTTGTAAACAAAATACAACGTGCTTATTATTCAACTTGTCTATACTGGCGGGTTCAGACGACTACACAACGTAACACTAGTTGCCGACGAGTGTGTACATTCTGAATAGTATCAGGTCAAATAGAACCCGGATTCCGGGTCAAATCTGACCCGGGACTTTTCCAAGTGTAGTCTTGTTTTTGAAAAGCAATAATGCTGGTAAAGTGCCCTGTTTCTGTGCGCCACCGTTAATATGGCCCCAAGGCAGGAGCGGCGGAACCGGGGGCGGGCCCAGTTTTACCCAAGTGCCCCTCTTGCTGACATAAATGTGCCCCAAGCATAAATGTGCCCCCTCGAGATGAAAACAAAACTTGCTCTAAAATTTCTGATAATTTGATTTCAGTAACCATTTCCCAAAATGTATAGAGAGTTCTGATATGAACGAGGAATCTGAAAACCAAGCCCCAAAACCCTGAAAACGCGCCCTGAAAATGGCCACAGAATGCGTAGTTTGGTGGCACGGTACCAGCCCCCCCCCCCCCAAACACACACACTATTTGATTTTACGGAGGCCAAGTGTCCGGTGAAAAAAACATGTCAACATTTCAGCACAGATGAGCCCCCCCCCCCCCCAACAAAAATAAAATAAAATAAAAATGCTGGATACGCTGCCGCACCGACGGAAGATGCCTTTTACTGAGCAAGTGTTCCCTTTTTAGTGATGCCGCCACCCCCTCCCAGTTTGCAAATCGTTCCGCCGCCGCTGCCCCAAGGTGGGATGTAAACCCACGATTGTTTATGTTACAATCCTGAGTTGAGGCCACGAAACTCTACACGCTACATTGCATCAATGGAAACAGTCCGCCAATTCACCATGTTACCCAAACCAGACTATTCTACCCTCCATACTCTACCTGGCTTTAACATCGTTCACGTGCGCATTGGAGACGTGGATATTGTACGCAATGCACGGCAAAACAGTACCGGTCAAGTTGATCTTTCTCAAAATTTTTATTTCAAATACATCGTAGTGCAATTAACGGGGTTTTTTTATATGTAAACTAATACTACACACTGGCTTGCATAAGTTGCTTAAAAAGAGCTTGTATAGATTGATAGAAACAGCCAATCAACCACACCCCAAATGTACAACTTTCGCACTGGATACTTTGACAAATGCTGTACTTTTCTAACAATTATTATCGGAGTACAATTACTGAAAACATTAAGCTTCGGAATGGCAGTGTATTAACAGGTGTTCTTAATAGAACTTTATCAATAGTCCCCGTGAAATTTCGTATCAATTATTTATACATAATTGTACAGGAATTGTTAGCTCATTTAATTTGGGTTATTGTCAGGGTTCGGTTCGTAACATTTTGTCCGTTCACTTTTTTCTGATCAGTTACCTCCGTCGAAGTCGGAAGTTGAAAAATACTCTGTGATTTTCTTTTTATTTAAACATGGTGGAATATCAATTTAAGTTTTTTTTATACTAATTATCTTGGGTTTTTTTATTTGGCAATATTGGCACTAATGATAAAGTTGCAATAGATTACAAGTACAACACGACGATGTAATTAATATTTGTGAGACAGTTATCGAGACAGTGGGTTTCAGACGAATGTTAAGTATCAAGGAACAGAAAAATTTAAACGCCCGACCTCAAGACATTGACCGAAGATCGTGGTGCATAAATTTACAGCCAATTTCGAAACGCTAATCCCAAAAATTGACACGGAATTTGATGTCGCGGATTCTTTTACATGGCGCCCCGGTACCAACTTAAAAGTACGGAAACTTAAGCGACCACTATGATGCAATGTTTGAATAAAAAAAGCATAGACCCCACAGAAATTTCTTTCCTCAAAATAGGAGACGAATAACAGTCTTGTGTAAGAATAAGCTAGCAAATAAAAGTGAATGGGTAAACGTATACACTTGTTTTGCAAATTTTGCCAGTGCCTTGAGACTTAATGTATTACTGATAAAACGTAAAGCAACTAAAATAATGTTAAAAACGTTTAGCTTTTTGCAGTCTATATTATAAATACTTGGTCCATGGTGTAAATACTTAATGCTGAACGCCATATTATACTACAAAGCTGAAAATAAAATGTTCAAGGAATTCTATCCTTAAAATTGGTAGAGCAATGCCAACATTCTTTTTGGCTATCTTTATAAATTAAAAAATTCAATCTGTTTCTTACCTTTCGATAAAAAGATAACAGTGCAATATAATTATTTAAAAACAATGGGAAAAATGTAGCTACGTGAATGAACAGATGAAAATAAAAATTAATAGCATCGCGTTCATCCCTTCCGCAAAGTTCATGACAACTTGAAAAATTTGAATAGCCACATTTTCCAGCAACGTGACGGTAAAATACTTTTTTTAAGTTGGCAAAATTGAATTCAGTGCCAACAGTATAGTATAGTGTTCTGCAGGCTGCTTGACCGACAAATGACGTCATATGCGTGGGAATTAGTCTTACGTCTGAAGAGCAGCGATACTGCAATTAATAATGATAGGGCACCAGGTAAAATGCCAGCGGACTCTCGACTACTCAATAATCTGATTGGATATTGAAACAAAGTACAATTAGAATACAAGACCAACAAAAACGTGTTTTTGTAAATTTTATGAGGGTAGCAAAGGGACCAAAACGATTGAGACCCTCTACATTAGAGTGTGATAAAATCCACCACTTGAGGGCGCCAACACTGATTTGTGGTCAAAGTTTATGCATTTTTTTTTATTAACCTTTGGCTTTATGATTATAGTGATTATGGTTCGGAGTTTCACGATGTGCTCTGTTTATTTGGAGGATATAAAACAGAAAAAAAATCTGTAATAATTCATATGGATAAATTTCCGTCGTGCCTTTAGCATTAGGCCTAACACGCTAGCAACGAACGCGGCATTTAACCTGTTCACCGGAACTTTAAAAGGTTTACCGAAATATACATAGGAACAAATCTACAAATGGTTCTCAAACGATAATAGACATCACAAATACAGACTCTAGAGTACTTTTGGATTTCAATCAGTAATTTATCGAGACTTGAAACAAAATAAATATTGTTTCCGTATGCCCCGCCCACAAAACAGCACCCCTTCCTGACTGATATCTTTCGCAAAAATAACACTTTTATTTTACATATTAATATGTAATCATTGGTTGGAACCGTTTAGTGTATTTCTTTTCCAATTTCGTTTCTGTAAACCTTTCAACTAAAGCCATAAGATCGGTATACGTTGGGGGCGTTCTAACCAGAAGGATTTGACTCTCTCTCTCTCTCTCTGTCGCTTATACTTGAAATGCCCTTTGTATATAGAATCGCTTTCCGCTTCATTTTCCCGTTTGGAGAACAGCAGCCCTATTTTAGGTCGCACGATAGAAAAACATGAAAATAATTATGACTAATTCGGATAAAGTTAATGTGCGACAAAGAACTGAAATAAGTGATGAGAGTAGTACAGATAATCAACCGTTGGCCTAACTACGGGCGTCGCTAGAGGGTGTGGGGGAGGGGGTGGTCACACCCAGCAACCCTCCCCTCCATTAATAAAAAAAAAATCGTCGTCTTGTCGGCAAAATCGTATTTCTGTTAGCAATGTGCTACAACGAAGAGCGCCACCGATACTGTCCATTATCGTCTGCATTTTAACCGCGACTCCACTGGCTCCGTCCCCCTCCCCCACGCCACTTTTTTTGGATTTTGGTACTGCAGGCTGACGGTGACCGTACAAATCCTGGACTACCTTCCAGCACGGAGTGTCAGCATATTTTTACATTACAACCCCAAATTTGCCTTGCGACGCCCCTGAGCCTACCCATGGGGAAAAAATACAAGTGTTACAAAAAATCATGATGAAAAAGTAATGGAAGATACACACACAATATAAGTAGAAATAAATATCATGTACAACGCGTGAAGCAGAACTTGCCACGCACGAATATCATACACTGCATTGTATTCATAAAATCTTTGGTCTTTTTCTCTTATAATGCCTTTTTTCAAACCAACCACAACGAACGTGCTCTTTTGAAGTCACTCGTCTAAAACGATCGAAAAGGCATTTTTTTTTTCCTGACAATAATTTAACACAAATCTCCGGCAAGACAATCTCCACAACATTTCTGCAATATTTCATTGGCTGTAAAGACACATGTCACCAACCAAAGTTTCTTTTGTTCTCTGCCTTAAAAAAAAAAGTATACGAAGATTACACGACACACAAATATAAGGCATTCATTTCAAATGTCATTACATTCTAAACCATTAACAGGGATCAGTCGTTAACATCCAGTTAATGCAGCCTAATACAGAGTCTTTTTTTGGGACGCCAGTTCGTATACGATGGGAATGGTGATTTTGCAAACAGTGTTTTAAAAAAATTCCGGAGTGACGAAAATAAAACACTGTGTGTGAAAAGCCGACCTCTGGTGTTTCCATCAGCAATGGACGTGTTCAAACCAAGTAAAGCGGCTTGACAATTTTGCTCTAAAACAAAACAATGAGAGGAAATGGTCAGCGAACCACAATGGGCTAGAAAGGTGTTTTTTTTTCACTGCTAAATTGAAACTATATTATTAGAAGGTTACTGCTTAGCAGTCACCTAGGAAACCGCTTTGTATGCATGGCTAATTACACAGTGACCTACATCATTATTATTACCACTTGAGTCTCCTCACTGAGTTTTTCTGGATCTTCTGTAAATATATAGTTTGGTTTGATTTGGAAAACTGTGAGCTTATTGTCGGTTACATCACATGGGTATCTTTTCTGCGGAGCTTTTTGGAGGCAACCAAGTTTGGCAACAGACGTATAATCGACTGGCACACCGTTTACCAAAGAGAAAGGTACACACGGGATGTGCTAAAGTCTGGCACCAAATAAGGTGGGATAGCCCTTCATCTGTGAGGCAAACGTAGATTTATCACCAGTATACAAGAAATCGAACATACGTTTTCGTAGGGAAAAAAACACGGTTCGTACACTCCGCAAACATTGTGCGTGTTTTTCGTGAAGCTGCTAACCCAATTGCGCAAAGTCAAATGGGTTACCAACGAAATATTTCATTTTTTATATTTTTTCTTCATTGTGTCATGTTTATTTCTTGTGTAACTGATTCTTGTTTTGCTCGGCATGTGGACGTGCAAAGGTAATTTTAGGGATTTTTTGGGCGAAGCGGCTCCATTAAATTGAGCCATTAAGGGAGAATTTCCTTCTGGAAACCGTACTTGTAAATGGCATGTTTTGTTGGTGAGACGGTTATTAACATCATTTATCAATGACAGGTACGATGACATTTTGAACTATGGATTTAAGTTGGGAGCTAGTGTTTTCCTAACACAGACTATCAAAGAAATAAATGATTCACAATGTTTATTACATGGGACATTTAATGTACAAAGGAATACTCAGCCCCCCTTTCAATTTTCAAAGAGTTTAAAAATGCTGAGGTATTTTTTTGAGATGGCTTCATTTGATCTACTTGTGAGAATTTAAATCATAGAAAAATAAAATTCATCGAACAATATAGCGGCAGAAGTCGAAAATAAACTCATACAAAAAGCAAAAGTCATACACTGATGATAGAATTTGTAAAGTGGCTGTGAAGAACAGCCTACCATGCAAACTAGTGACCACCAATGCATTACCACATCAGTGTGATGTCTTCCTGTTGGCATGCATGTTGAACCTTCATAGATTCACGTTTGAACCTGACCTGTGACGTCATGGTGATTTCTCTGAGGATGAGGTCGATGAGGAATCTTCTCCCTCGGCTTCTTTTTCCTCCTCCCCCACCTTTTCTCCCCTCTCTCGTTCCGTCTTCTCTTGTTTCATCAACTCCTCCGGTGACGATCCATCTTTAGACTCCGCTCCAGATGCAGACTCGCCCGTCAGCTCGGGCGTGCTATGTGACGTGTGCTCCCCGCTCGTGCTACCTAGAGCCGACCCGGACCCTTGACCTGATGACTCGCCTGGCTCCAGTCGGTTGCCCTGCAGCCAATAGTGCACCGTGCTGTCGATCACGTGACGGAAATGTCTCATGACGCGGTTGCCTATGGACTCGTACGGTTCGGGCATGACCTGAAGTATTAGCAATACCGATACAGTTACCAATACAATTTTTACTTTTTGCTTTTACAAAGGCAAGACGTTCAGAAAGACTCACTCGTTTTACTCACGAGCACGTTAAAAAAAATCACAATTTGTAGTCTTGCTTTTTAGTTTAATAAACGTCCTAACGGGATGGCGGAATTCTTTTGCTTCCTTCATTGTTTCCATTTTCCAACTGGAACAAAATGAAGGTGAGGAGATTTCGATTTCGTTTTTAAAGTGCTGACCAGTTTTAAATAATAAAAACTACACAGTTAAATGCAAGTGCATTAAACTAACTTTGAGTGCCAGCTATTGCGCTAGTTGGAGTGGTTACAGCGCTCATTGTACAGCGCCCTCCGGCTTACCTCTATCTCTGCTTCTTGTTTGCCGATGCGCAGTATCGCCTTGTACAGCTGTTTCTCCACCGTTGTGTGGACGCCCCGGCTCTGAATTGTACCAATCAACTGCAGGTCCAGCTGGTCCAAGATCTCTTGCCGGGCCGTTACCACGTCACTTCCGGAATCTACCATAAATTCTGAGGGAACTGATACTTTCAGTCAAGTGCATGAAGGTACCAGACAACTCGGGCTTTAATTTTTGCTCCCCTCAGGCAATCATTAAAACGCCCCAAAAGATTCAACTACTGATGTGATGAAAACAATATCGTTCCACCTTTTGTCATTTTCAAATGTAAATGATCATGCAGGTTGACACAGTCACTGTGGTACCGGTGTGAAAACCACCTGGCACACCATGTGAACTATGCTAGATCTCCATTTGCATTGATCTTGCAGAGAATTGGAAACTGAAATAGGCCTACTACTACGTATGGGATAACATTTCATGTTGCCTACTATAATTGCGAATTAAATTTGCGTGTCCCGTGCTCCTCAAGAAATTCGATGATTTTTTTTCTATAAATAATTTTCCAACTTTTAGCTAATGTTGTTATTCCAACCAAAAACCCCTCATTTTTTTTCTTTTTGGAACGTCTTATTAAAACACTCTGAAAAACAGGTTTTTGTTTTGGGAACAAACAGATCCGCTTAGCGAGCAGACCGGACATTATCGATACTGATCGTAGGGCGGGAACCAGCCAACGGAATTATATTGTCTGGCAGCCAATAAATTGTAAAGTAAATTTTCATAACTAAACGTGAGCCAATTATTATCGGTCATTGTCTCATTCACTACTGGTTTAGTTTTGTATTGCTAGAAAAATAGCAACACAAATTAGAAAAAAGAATCTATTTTCTGGGATGAAACTCGTAAAAAGCACGGGGAATGCAACGTTAAGTACGCAAATCAATGGCAATGGTGTTTCGTATCAAGTTGGCACACTTTGTTACATAGCCATGTTCTATTGATTCACAAGTCCTCGTTTGCAAGCATGACAATAAATGTTGTCCAACCCAACAAATAAGTCTTTAATGATGTACAAGATAATTTTTGGACAAAGAGGCTTTTTCAACAGATTTCCTAAATAGAAAAAGCATTAAAAAATATTTAACAGTTTTACCAACGTAATATAATAATAAAGATGTCAACGTGATTTGTAACTGAAAGGTAGAGTTTGATCTTTCTGTTGCTAATTAAAAAAAAAACAAAAAAACCGTGAGGTGAAAAAACAGAAAAAAATCCTTCGGACTCATTTTGTGGGACCAGAGACGAATGAAAACAGCCCTACCTTCAGTGAACGAAAGACTATCAGGCTTGTTGGATTTGAGTGTTGCTTGGATGCAGAGGAAATCATATTTGGCACCCTCTAGTGCCGTGGGCTTGCCCCAGTATCCGATGGCCACTGGCACCTCGGCTTCCAGCTCTTCTATCCGACGCCGTTTCCGTAGCTTGGGTACTGAGCGATGGATGGATAGGAGAAAAGGAGATTAGGGACTAGATCTCGTACCATAAAACCAAACATTTCTTCATTCTTCCCAATTTGGCGTTTTCCTTCATCTTCTTATCTGGCTTCAGCTCAGCGGATTTTGTTTGGCTGTTAACTTGGGGACTCTGGCTCAGTACAGGTCCATGTCCTCAGTGTTTCAAAAACATGAACATCTTTTTCCATTCAGTTTGGGACATGAAAGGATTCTAAGATGATTCTGTGGCCAGAGATCAAGCCGAGGCCAGACAACACGGAGCCAAATCAGTCATGTCGTAGACAAAGCGGTAGTTTAAAAAAAAACAAATCAACATGCACTTTTTTGATTTCGCGTATATACAGCGCGCGTTGTATCAACAGCTGACGCGCATTTTGGTCACGTACACAAATTATGATGTTTTAAAAAGGACACGTTTCCGTTGTGATTATAATTTCCAAAACGCCGACAAAGTGAACTGCGGCATTAAAAAAAAGTAAACCACGACGTTAGAAAAATTGTAAACCTTGGTCAGTGATGGTGGTCAAAATATAAGTTAAGTGTACCGCGATGTTACAAAAGAAATCATGCTGTCTATAAAGACGGCAACTTGCCCTTTGTAGATCACCAGCCGGTCTCACCGGTCTCACCAATATGGCGTCAAATTCGTTCATTGTGCCGCTCTTTATCCGCTACCTAGTCTTTAAATTGAGATCAGTAAGCTCTACATGTACTATGTCTCACCGTTAGTCAGTATGTTAGTTAGTAGGGGAGTAAGTTAGTTAGTTAGTTAGTTTGTTAGTAAGTTAGTTAGTTAGTAACAAACGTTGACATTGTCTATTGCTCCTACATACTTTGACCGATTTTAACCAAACTTTGTCAAAAGTATCAGTAGCCCAGCCCCAACATACCACATGACCCAACTGGGGTCAAAGATCATCAGGGGTCAAGGTCAAAATAACGTTAAATTTGAAATAAGCTCAAGTGACAATAGTAGCGGTCAACATGCTAGCCTAGCTTGGTCGAACATTAAAAAGTCCATGGTGACCTCTTCGTCTGACCTACAGTTATGAGGTAAAAGGTCAAAATAGGCCAAATTTGAAATAAGCTCAAATTCAAAAGTAGCACTGTCAACATGTTGGCCTTGGTCAAACATTTTAACATGTCCATGGTGACTTCTTCGTCTCACCTACAGTTACGGGGTTAAAGGTCAAAATAGGTTACATTTCAAAGAAGCTAAAATGACAAAAGTAGCGCTGTCAACATGTTGGCCTTGGTCAAACATTAAAAAATGTCAATGGTGACCTCTTCACCTGGCCTACAGCTATGGGGTCAAAGGTTGGCCCGCAGGCGTAATTTTTATTTCTAGGACGGTTAGGGCCAATTCATTAATAATTCAGTAGTTTCGATGGGAAAGTTATTTTTTTTTTCATGAGAACAGAACAATGACAGCAACAGCATTGTTGTTATTTCAGTTACGTTAAAGCATTTTAATGAACGTAACAGTAGCCTAGTTGATGGCGAGAGGAGCTATGGATACAAAGATCCCTGTTTCGAATCCACGTCGTCGCTGCTCATTTTCATCGACTATTTTTCTTCTCCAATTTTATCACTGAGATAATTTCAATTTTAAGGGAAAAGGGAAAAGGAGAACGAGAACCTATGTCTTGCCATGATTCAAAGGAAAAACTGAATTATTCATATTATTGCCCCTAACCCCCTGGGGAAAAAAACGTGGCCCGCAGGCTCCGCAGCTTCCGAGATCCGATCGAGCTTGTTACTCTATCAGGAAAATAAAATGTTATTATTTGTAATCAAATTTACAAATGTTCGACCAAAGACAATTCGTTTGGTGTACGTGAATGGCAATTGCAAATAAAATAAAGATAAAATAAAATAAAGCAAATAAATAAACATATAAAGAAATCATTCTCTATAGAGGGCGCTATCATTCTGTCCGTATCATCGGCCTTAATATCTTGCCTAACGAAATTTTATCAAACATTTTCATTCATTCTCTCGAAACAAAGAAATACTTTTCGTTTTAACGAACTGGATTTCATTAATCAAAACGGAAAAACAAGTCCAAAGGAAAACACTTAAGTGTTTGCAGGGTCAAAGAGAATTAGAAATCATCCCTTAGTTTCATAGAAGACAGGCAGCTGACCCGGCCATGACTCCAGTAGTCTCTTTCCATCCAACCATGTTTTTCTTCATCAACGTTTTAACGAGACATCACCAAATCAACATCATCATGGCCAACAACATGCCGTCAGCGCCCGCCCAGGCTAAGCCAGGGCCCCGCCAAACATGCTCTGATGATATCCTTTTATCCCCGCCCCCTGCATTCGTCACATGACTGTCTCCTTTTAACTGCACACATTGATTCCTCAGATTGTATGTAATTTTGCCCCTCGAAATATAATCCTGACAATCGCGAACGTTTCATTATAGGTAGATCATTTAAAACACTAGAGGGCAGCAAACAACTTTAACAGTGCCACAGTTGTGTGCGAGGTCTGACAAGAATACAAAACGTCTTGGAAAGAATTCCATATACGGACTCCAGTTATTTTCCTAGATATGACTTGAAAAGTACCAAAAGTTGTAAATCTGACGATGAAATGGAAATGTAGGAGGGGGAAAAAAATCAAGATTTCTTTAAAAATACTTTGACGTTTCCTGTCATGGCCCATAGAGGTGGAGGCTTATATGGAATTCTTTCCAGTGTTCCTAACGTGGCGCACTTGAACAAATCCCCGAAAATCCGACATTAACATTTAAGAAATTCTTTAAAGTTGTTAACTTCTGATAAATCATGATTATCCCAACTCACATACCCAACTACAAGTTTGTCACATTTACGTAAGCCGCATAAATCTGTGGCATCATGACTGTACCGCGTAGAGTGCGCGGGGACCTGGCCAGCTGTAGGGCGGCAAGGCATGCACGCGCACGCTGTCAAAATGTCAAGTTGGATAACGGTCGAGTTGTCCGACCCCATGGGTACAAAGCCTATGGAGAAAAGAACGTGCACAAACCCTATGGAGAAAAGAACGTGTACAAACCCTATGGAGAAAAGAACGTGTACAAACCCTATGGAGAAAAGAACGTGTACAAACCCTATGGAGAAAAGAACGTGTACAAAACCTATGGAGAAAAGAACGTGTACAAACCCTATGGAGAAAAGAACGTGTACAAACCCTATGGAGAAAAATGAATCTTTAATGTGAAGTAACCTTACACCTGATGATGTCACGATCATGAATTTCTTCTAGGACCATCTGTGGGTGGTAGTCTAAGTGTGTACCAAGTCTAACGTCGATCGGATTTACGAAAGTGCCAAAGTAGAATGTTTTAAAACGTGTACAAACCCTACGGGGAAAAATGCATCTTTAATGTGACGTAACCCAACACCTGATGACGTCACGATCACAAATTTCTTCTAGGACCATCTGTAGGGGATGGTCTAAGTGTGTGCCAAGTCTAAAGTACATCAAATTTACGAAAGTGCCAAAGTGGAGTGTTTTAAAACGTGTACAAACTCTATGGGGAAAAATGCATCTTTAATGTGACGTAACCTGACACTTGATGATGTCACGATCACGAATTTCGTCTAAGACCATCTGTGGGTGGTGGTCTAAGTATGAATTAAGTTTAAAGTCGATCGGATTTACGAAGATGCCAAACTGGAGTGTTTTAAAACGTGTACAAAACATATGGGGGAAAATGCATCTTTAATGTGACGTAACCTGACACCTGATGACGTCACGATCACAAATTTCTTCTAGGACCATCTGTGGGTGGTGGTCTAAGTGTGTACCAAGTCTGAAATCAATCGGATTTTAAAAAGTGGCAAAGTAGACTGGTGGAAGAAACGTGTGTTAAACCTATGGAGAAAAAAATCTGAAATACTCTTAGCACGGGATGTACAATCAGTGACGTCACTATAAATGTCATCTATAACAGCACATTATAATATGTACATGTCAAGTTACAACCAAATTGAACATTTTAGTTCTGTTGATATCGACCTATAAGAGAATAGAATGCCTCTTTAAGGGACTTCACATGACATTTGATGATGATGTCACTTCAATTTCCATCTATAACACATCCATGTGAATATGCATACATGTACCAAGTTTTAACCCAATCAGACTAGTACTTCCGAAGTTCAGTTTGAAGAAAAACGTGTACAAAACCAATAGGGAAACAATGCATCTTTAATGTGATGTAACCTGACACCTCATGACGCCACGATGACGAATTTTTTGTAGGACCCTTTATGGGTAGTGGTCTAGGTGTGTACCAAGTATAAAGTCGATTGGATTTACGAAGATGCCAAACTGGAGCGTTTTAAAACGTGTACAAAACCTATGGGGAAAATGTGCATCTTTAATGTAAAGTAACGTGACACCTGATGACGTCACGATCACGAATTTCTTCAAGGACCATCTGTGGGTGATGGACTAAGTGTGTACCAAGTGTAACGTCGATCGGATTTATGAAAGTGCCGAAATGGAGCGTTTTAAAACATGTACAAATCCTATGGGGGAAAAATGCATCTTTAATGTGACGTAACCCGACACTTGATGACGTCACGATCACGAATTTCGTCTAGGACCATCTGTGGATGGTGGTCTAAGTATGAATTAGGTTTAAAGTCGATCGGATTTACGAAGATGCCAAACTGGAGTGTTTTAAAACGTGTACAAAACATATGGGGGAAAATGCATCTTTAATGTGACGTAACCTGACACCTGATGACGTCACGATCACAAATTTCTTCTAGGACCATCTGTGGGTGGTGGTCTAAGTATGTACCAAGTCTGAAATCAATCGGATTTAAAAAAGTGGCAAAGTGGACTGGTGGAAGAAACGTGTGTTAAACCTATGGAGAAAAAGTCTGAAAAAGGAGAAAAAAAAAACTAGAAATGTGTTTGTGGACAAACACAAGCTGTTTCGGATATTTGAAATACTCTGTGCATGTTAT